TTTTTACTAGTCCTTTTTTTGCTTTTTTGAGACAGGATCTTGCTCAATTACCCAGGCTGTGCTAAAACTTCAATCCTGCTTCAGCTTCCCAGAGTGCAAGGATTACAGGGACACACCACCACGCCTGGCTGGTATTCAGTCTACTTTAGACTGTCTGCGAGCGGTTAGCTGTTATCACCCCCACTGTGGAAAAGCAGACCCTGGGGCTCTGCTAGGTTTGGTGACTCATTTGAGGTCACACTGCTAGTAAGAAGGACAGCAGGACTTGAACCAGGCACAACACACTCTGGGGCCCATACTCATGTCCACTGTAGGACCCCCGAAACACACACATACCTTCTCCAGGAGGCTTCATCCTGCCAGAACTCATATAGGGTATAAGAGGTGTTGTCCAGCATCTTATGGGCAGACACACTGTGGAGCCAAAGAGATGCCCAGGCCAGGCTGGGGCCGTCTCCACTGCTGCCCACCTGCCAGGGTCTCATGGGAGCCTGGCCCAGAGTGTCCAGCCCAGCACCCTCCTTTGCTCACCTTCCCCACCTCACCCACCCCACCAACAGCTGGGGACTCACTGCAGACAATGGCTCTGGGCCCTAGTGAAGTCCACGTAGCAGCAAAGGGCTCGGTGGAAATCCTGCAGGGCGCCTTTGGTTACCTGCACCTGCCGCTGGGCCACAAGAATGTACTGTGGAGAGGAGTGGCCAGTCAGCTGGGGTGGGCAGGCATGAGAGGCGACTTTACCCTTCGTGACATCTGACCCATCCTGGGGTCAACCCCTGCCACCAACAAGCCCCCAGTATCACGAATCCCTCCCTCCAAGGTCACTGCTTTAATCAAGCCATTGTCCAGCTCTTCTGCAATAGGTTACCACTCCTCACTGTCCTCTCCAGCCTCCATCTACTACCCCAGACCAGGTTTCAGATATACTGATGTGGAAACTGACACCCTGAGGGGGCTGTGATTTCTGCAGGGCCTCAGAGCAAGGACCAGAACCAGCCCCTGCCTGCAAGACCTGGTGACAGGGCAGATGAACACTGCTGGTACCCTAAGCCCCTCGCCTGGCTGAGCACAGGGGCCTGGCAGCCATCAGCCTGCTTCTCCCCGAGCTCACCGAGTCAGGACCCTTGAAAAGGTCCTCTTCATGCAGAGGTTCCAGCCGGGGAGCCTGTGAGGGACACAGAATATAGATTGAGACCCCAGTATATGCCTGCCTTGGGCTGATGTCAGGGAGGTCCTCTCCAAGGGGCACTGGCCACACAGCCACCCACCTTGCATTCGAGCTGGTCTATGAGCTCCTGAAGACGGTTGACCTGGAGCCGCCACTGCATCACAGCCTCTGAGCTCTGCCCTAGGAATAGGTTCCAGGAAGAGGGTCAGCTATGGACCCCTGAGACTAGAGGACTCCAGACAAACTAGGAAGCCAAGGAGGATCAGGCCCTGGGGGAGGGGGGTGGGAAACACGTTCCCTGGACCCTCCTCAGTCAGGCTTCCTACCCCACCACAGGCACACCTATATCAGAAGAGCCAGGAGAACAGGTGGGTGACCAGCTGACACTCCTTAGGGCCCTTCGTCCTGCCCGCCGGCTGCCACGGGGCCTCCTCTGCACTTCCACATTCTCTCCATTTGACCTAAGGGAAGTGGAAGGTCAGTCCACTACTCCCCAGAGCTACCAGACCAAGAACTGGTATCCCAGGAGAGAACTTGCCCTGAGGGGAGCAAGACAGGCCTCCTGGGACTCTGAGTCCCAGCCTTGTACCAGCATCCCCTGCTCACCTGCTCATGGCCTCCCTGCCTGATATGGACTCCAGGGTCGGACTATAGCTTGTGATGACACAGAGGGATGTGGAATAAGGGACAATGAGCACTTACACTCTGGACCCACAGGCCGGCAAGGTCCTGTCATAGGATGGGCCACGGGCTTGGGCCTCCAGGGTGTCCGATGCCCCCTCCAGAGAGTTTTGCAGAGCCTGGAGCTGGCTGGTCGTCTCCCGAAGCAAGAAGCGTGTCATAAACTGGTCCACCTTGGAGGCCTGCTCATATTCCTAGGGGTACAGGGCTGGTCAGCATCTCCCTGCCCAAGCATATTTCAGAGCAGGGAGCTGCTCCCTGGAGGGAGCAGCAGTGGACAAGGTCAGGGCAGATGTGGCACAGCCAGAGGACTCTGCAGTGTGATGGGCAAGGGGAGCTCAGATCCTCCTTGGTGAGGCCTGGCCTCTCTCCCTGGCATTGAGGCCAACCCACAGGGAGCATCTGTTAGCAGGCATGATGGCATTTTTGGACCTCAAATTTTCTTCTCTGCTGAAGCTACCACCTTCAGCTTTAGCCAGGGCTGGGTGGGGTGGTGATTAGAGGGTCTTTAAGGGCCAGTTATAACACTTCATGCAAAATGAGGGTATGATATGGTCCCACCCCTAAAAGCTGCTCCCAAACTCACAATCTATATATGCATCCATCCATCCACCCATGCATGCAACAAACATCAACTGTGTGCCTTTTGCTAGGAGGTATAGACACAGGACCATCACATCACTGTCCACATACCATCATGACCCCAGCCTACGGTACCACCCCTCCAAGGTGCCAGGACCTGTTCTGCCCATCTCAACTCCCTCTATACCTTCTTTTGCCATTTCATCTGCAAAGCAAGAATGATTCTGAGCTGCTGGAAGCCCTGCCACCCAATTCCTAGGATGCCATCCAGTGCCTGGCACAAAGGCCTCTGTACAGGAACTGTCTGTCACCTTTTTTGGTTTTGGTGACAAAGATTCTACCCAGGGCCTCAAACATGCTAGGCAGGGCTGTGACCTAACCCTTTCATTTTGAAACAGGGTCTCATGAAATTGCCCAGGCTAGGCTTAAACGTCTGATTTTCCCTTCAGCCTCCCAAGTAGATGGGATTACAGGTATGCATCACTATGGCTAGTTCTGTCATTTATACTGTCAAACATACCTCTAATAAGGAATCCGCCCCATTGTGCCCCTCTCAGTCACAGCTGTTCTGAGATTCCACCCCCCAACCATATGCACACAACCCAGGATGGGAGTCCTCAGCCCTCAAGGGCTTAAATACTTGTCCATGGCCTGCTTCCTCTCAGCTAGCAGAGGATCCCTGAGTCAGGTTTATAGGCTGACAGACAGCATAGAGTTTGGGTCCTATCATTCTCAGACCAGTGATTTCCATATGAATGAAATCCTTCCAGTAAACTTTCTGCCTAAAATGACCAATCAGCTTCTGTTGCAACCAAACAATCTGGCTGGCAAAGCACCTACTCTGCAAGTCATTGTCTCAATAATTTCACTTAATATACTGGGCCACAGAGGGCCTGCCCCTTAGCTCAGTTCTTTAAGTGCCTGCTTCAACAAAGCAGTCAGGCTCAGGTTGCTGTGGTTCGATCCCTGGAACTCAAGCCAGCCAAACCTGCCCTGAAGGCATTCTGAGCCAGCCCCCCAACTAAAAAAAAAATCCTCCTTATACTGGGCCACAGCTGTAATTCTAGCACTCAGGAAGCTGAGGCAGGAGAATCACAAATTGGAGGCCAACCTAGACTGCAAATGAGTTCAAGGTCAGCATGGACTACATAGCAAGACCCTGTCTCAAAAAAAAAAAAAAAAAAAAAGGAGGGGCCTGCTGGTTAGCTCAGTTGTTTAAGCGCCTGCTCATGCAAATGCAGTCAGGCGCAGGATACTGAGTTCAATCCCCACCTCCACCTGCCTTACCAGATCTGCCCTTAGGGCAACCTGAGCCAGCCAAAAATAAATAAATAAATAAATAAATAAATAAATAAATAAATAAATAAATGTAGAAGAAAGAAAGAAAAGAGTTTTACTATAAGTGCTTCCCTGGCAAGCACAAGGGCCTGAGTTCAATCCCTGGTTCCGCAAAAATAAATAAATAAATTAATTAATTAATTAATTTACAAGAGCCATAACCCCATTTACAGATGAGAAGACTGGAGCTTAGAGAGGTTCATCAGTTTGCCCAGGGTCACACAGCTAGTTAGTGGCAGGGCCAGGATTCAAATCCCAGTCAGTCACAGAAATTTCTTTCTGCTCACCCTAAATACTTTATAGGCACTGCTTCATTTATGATTATTATTAGCCCAGTTGTACAACTAAGAAACCAAGGCCAGGAGAAGTCACAAGTGAAAGGAACCCAAGATTCTCCTGGGTACTGTGAGGAGCTCAGAATCCAAACTGATGATGTCATAATGTAGCCTCCCAAGACAGGCCACACAGGGCCTCAGTCACAAGGCAGAGCCACAGCTACCACGGGCCGTGGCCCCTGAGCTGACCCTGCAATGGGAAACAGAAGTTCTCATAACAGGACCAAGGCGCCCAAGCAGCCCTGCAAGGAGAGGCCGCCAGACCCGGACAAGGCCCAGGGGCAACAGTCCTTCAGCCACTTCAAGCAGAAGAAGCCAAATGTGCGTGTGGGGTGGGGGTGGGCTGCCCTGAGATGCTGGAGTCTAGGCCAGCCCAGAGACACGAGAAGGGTTAGAGGACTCCCCTTAAGGATGAGTGTCCCAAGAGCCTATATGGGTCTGGGTCTGGATCTGGGTCCTAAAAGAAGGGAGGAAAGGGATTTCAGGAATCAGAAGGCACAGGAGACTTGGGGGCCCACGTGGGGAGGCAGGAGGAAGGCAGCTCTCTCAGGCTAGGCTGTGCTTGGAGGTCAGGCATGAGGAAGCAGCTCACTTGATACCAGCGAGGCTATGGACAGCGATTTCCCTCACACTTTGTCTCCAATAGGGATACCCACCATAGGTCAGCCTGGGCTAGAAAAGGGCTTCCAGGAGGCACGGACCTGCAGCAAGGAAGGCTGTGCTTTACTGATGTGATAGTGGGCAGGCCAACGAGAGAGTGCCGGAAACAGGGCATCTAGTTCTGGGCCAATTAGGGTCACTGGGAGGAGGGTGGGGAGGTCCTGGGTCCAGGGCTCCAAGCGGGTAATTCCTCTTCATATCCCGCCCAACTCCAGGCCAAGATCGTGCTGATTTTTCCTCTGGAAAAGCGGCGGCAGCGGAATGAGGCGGCGGCGGGTCTCGGTGTGAGGGCCCAGCAACCGAATGAGGACGCGACTGGCGTCCGGGGGAGCCTCCGGGCTTCGTCCATGCTCAGAGGAGCAGGCGATGGGCCCGATCGGCGCGAGCGCGCGCACAGGCGCCAGCTGGAGGTCCAAGTTCTGCTACTGCAGCTAGACGCGCGGAGGCTGGAAGAAGGACGCCGCGCTGAAGGCGGGGCCAGGGCTGGGGGCGGAGCCTCAGTCCAGGGGGCGGGGGCAAAGCCCGAGCGGTGTCCGCAGCGACTGTTCTTGCTTCCTGCGACCCGAAGAGAGGCGGATGCGGATCGCAACCACGGCAAGCTGAGGCGGCACTGCACTAGCTCGCGGCCCTAAGTGGCCATCTGGGTCCAGCCTAATAAAGAGCGCAAAGCAACCTGGCTTCTGTCAGCTCTGTCCCGGCCGTCAGGGTGGAGACAAAGTTGAGGCCCGGCCAAGGGAGGGCTGAATGGGGCCGATCGCTGGCAGAACAGTGGAGTGAAGCCAGAGCTGCCTTTGGCTTCTCCTTCCTGTGAGGCAAGGTGAGAACCAGCATCTGTCTCCCTAACACTCCAGGCCAATCAGACACTGCCAGCAAGGGAAATGAGCTCTAACCAACATAGCCTTGTCGATTGAGCAGAGACCCATTTTCAGCAAAGGCCTGACATGTCCAAGAGGACATGGCATTCAGATACCGCTCTTAGGCAAGAGGGTCCCAGGTAAATAGGCACTGTCCTGGGGAAGAGAGAGATCCCTTGGTCAGAGAGGTGGGGGATGAGGTGGCCTGGACAGCTTTTGTAAGCACTCAGCCCTCCTAGACTTCAAGGCACCTGGTCAAATTCCACACGTGTCTCCTGACCTGTCCTGTCCATCCCCTTACCCACATTCAGCTAAAGGCTTCTTCTAAATCACTTATCTGTCCAGAGCAGTTCACAGTCCTATTCAGGAGTCTGACCAATTCTCCCTGTCTTCAGGGAAAAGCTCAAATATATTACTGATTGATGCAGACCCAGCTCCCTGCCTCAGTCTTCCCCACCTAGGGCCTCACTGGTTGCCCCCTTATCCCTGCCTCTGGCCATACTGGCACTTGGGTCTCCAGTGTGAGGCTCACTCCCTACATCATTCACGAGAAGTCCCCAGCACACTCTGGGCAGGAGCTTGCATCCTAAATCCAGCTCCAGCCCACAAAGGCATCTCAGCCCTGCCAAATGGGCAGCTGCTTTTCTGTGGCAGACAGCAGGATCAAGGTCCCAGCGCACCAGTCACAGGACCAGCTTCTGCTAAAAATACTTGTGTTTTGAGACAGGCTCTCAGTATGTAGTCCAGGCTGACCTCAAACTCACAGATATCCTCCTGCCTCAACCTCCTGAGTGCTAGGATTATAGGCATCCACCAGCATGCCTAGCTGAAAATATATTTTTGTCATTCAACACATCTCTTCCAAAGGGCTGCCATCAAGTTGGCTGAGGAGTCACCTATGGCATGTCCTGTCTGCATTTTGTGTGTGTGTGTGTGTGTGTGTGTGTGTGTGTGTGTGTGTGACCAAACTCAGGATGTTCACTTGTCAGGTGGTCACTATACCACTCAGCTGCATTCCTGGCCCTGCCCTTCCACATGATTACAATCAGGGTAACTATGTTCATTTGTGCATGCTTGGCCCAAGCTGGCCCTGTCAACTATTCCCCTGTGGCCACAATTCAGGAGCTGAAAGAGACCATGTTTTATACTGGGATATGCACTGAGTAAAGCCAAGTCTTTTTTTTTTTTTTACAGAACCGGGGATTGAACTCAGGTCCTTATGCTTGCCAGGCAAGCGCTTATTCTACTGAGCCATCTCCCCAGCCCCAAAGCTAAGTCTTCAGAAGAAGAAAAACAATGGAGGGGCTGGTCAGATGACTCAGTAGAATAAGCGCTTTCCTGGTAAGTGCAAGGGTCTGAGTTCAATCCCCGGTTCGGCAAAAAAAAAAAAAAAAAAAGAAAAAGAAAAACAATGGAGGGGCTGAGAGTACAGCCACAGTAAGTACTTGCCCAGTGTACACAAGGCTCTGAGTTCCATCTCTAAAACTACAAAAACAAAAATCCCACAATGCAAAGCCAAACACACCTGGATTCCCAATCCTGCAGTTACGTCCTGTGCAGCTGAATCTTCTATTGCTAACTAAAAGGGTCCAAAGAGAATGACGCTCTGCAGAGACAAGCAGTGGCCTCTTTCCTGTGAGGGTTACCACCACCTTTTGGAGAAAGAAACAGCACAGAGGAAGAATTCCAAGCTCAGGGTTGGGCAGTGAGCTTCAGAAGTGAGTCACAGTTAGGGGGGATTCTGTGTAGGATGCTTGAGCCTCTTAGTGCTGAGCACACAGGGGTCCTCTGAAGGCTATAGATGGTGAATAAAAGCCTTCTCTTCAGCACTAAGAGTAGAAGGATGGAACCTCCAGCCAAAGGACAGCAGATAACCCAAAGCAGTTTGGGGTTAAGAATCAGACCTGAGGGGCCAGGGAGATGGCTCAGTGGAATAAGTGCTTCCCTGGCAAGCGCATGAGTTCAATCCTCGGTTCCACAAAAAAAAAAAAAAAAGAAAGAAAAGAAAGAAAGAAAGAAAGAAAAAAAGAATCGGACTAGATTTCCTGAGAAGCTGAGGCCCAACCATAGTACCCACATCTGTGGAGAGGACGATGGGTCCAAGGAGTTTTTATGGGGGGGGGGGAGTTGTGGGAGAAGCATCTGCAGTGTGGAGAACTGAGGTCACAATGAATCCGATCCAAGTTCTGTCTTCTTTGACAGTCCCATTCCATTTCCACAACCAGGAACCGCTTCATCAGCATTAGGTGAGACACACAGGGGACTGTGGCGCCTAAGGAAGGGCTGTGCCCAAGGGGAATGGACATATGTACGTCCAGATGGCCTCACCACAAGGCCCCTTCACTTCCAGAGTTGTTTCTCCAAGCTGCTTGTCCACACCGAAAAGGACTTGGTCTGACCCTTTTGTCCTCAGCGTCAGCAAGGCGTGAGGGGACAGAGCAGGGGTGCAGGCAGAGGCAAGCCCTGTGAAGGTTGCTGGACCTGGAGACCTAGAGAAACCGGCCAACAGAACCTGGAGCCAGGGGCGGGGCCGCTCAGCTGGGAGAGGCGGGGCTTTGCGGCCAGAGGGCAGAGTCAAAAGAAGGGGGTGTAATCCAGCCCGCAAAAGACATAGGCCTAGGAGAGGGTCGCTGGGGCATTCACCATGAAGGTGGCGTCTGTGTCCCGGGCCAGCCGGCCTCCCTCGCTGGGCCATATTGCGGTGGTGGTGGACCACGGCTCGGGCTTCACCAAAGCAGGCTTCGCAGGCGAGGCCCAGCCGCGCGTTGTGCTCAAGAGCTCCAGCCTGGTGCCCAGCTGGGATCGGCCTGTGCTGCCGGGCGAGCCGGGCTGCGAGCTGGCGGGTGGTGTGGCGCGCGCACATCCCATCAAGCACGGCGTGGTGGTGGACTGGGAGGCGCTGGAGAGCCTGTGGGAGCGCCTGCTGGTGGGGGGCCTGCGGGTGTGCCCGGAACAGTGGCCCGTGCTGGTAAGCGACTCCCCCTCGGCGCCACCTGAGGGCCGCGAGAAGGTGGCGGAGCTGCTGTTCGAGGCCTTGGCGGTGCCCGCGTGCCACGTGGCCAGCACGGCGCTGCTGGCGCTCTGCTCGGCCGGCGCGCTCAGCGGGCTGGCGGTGGAGGCGGGAGCGGGCGTGTGCCACGCCACCCCTGTCTACGCAGGGCACTCGTGGCTGCAGGCCACCTTCCGCCTGGATGTGGCAGGCAGCACCCTGTCACGCTACTTGCGGGAGCTGCTGGTGGCTGCGTGTCCCGACCTCCGATTGCAGGGCCTGCCGCGCAAGACCATAACACAGCTCAAGAAGCGCTGCTGCTACGTGTCACTGGACTTTGAGGGCGATCTCCGTGACCCTGCCCGCCACCATCCGGCCAGTTTCCGAATGGGAGATGGGAGCTCCGTGTGCCTCGGCAGCGAGCGCTTCCGTTGCCCGGAACCTATCTTCCAGCCGGGGCTGATAGGCCAAGCTGAGCCAGGGCTGCCCACGCTGGCCTTCCAGGCACTGCAGAAGATGCCCACGATGCTCCGGAAACGGCTGGCCGACACCGTGGTACTGGCTGGGGGTTCCACGCTTTTTCCCGGCTTTGCTGAGCGCCTGAACCTAGAACTGGAGGCGCAGTGCCGACGGCACGGCTACTCGGCCCTACAGCCCCACCTGGTGGCAAAGTCTGGGCGCGGCATGGCTGTGTGGACTGGAGGCTCCATGGCGGCCTCCCTGCACTCTTTCCAACGCGGCTGGATGACTCGGGCCATGTACCAGGAGTGCGGCCCCAGGCTGGTGCACAAAGTGTTCAACTGACAGGAAGTTTGGGGGGGTAGAGTGCCACCAGGGAACACCGCAGGGACAGAAGCTCCAGGCTGAACTGCAGCTCTTCAGAGCAACAGCACCAGATAAAAGAATCTCAAGTGTCTGGAGTCTTCTGTGTTTGAGTGTAGGGGAGTCACACACACCCATATCCCTTTCTGCACCAAGAGCATGTGGTTGAGGGGCTAGGACCTCATTTTGACCTGGGGTCAGAATCCCCTCAATCACTGCCAGTTTAAAAAATGCCAGTCCAGCTGGCACCCCTAAGACCAGGCCCCTAGCAGTGTTCCACCATTGAACTAGATCTTCAATTATTTTTATTCTTTTTGCACTACTACAGATGGCCTTGAGCTACATGCCCAACCTTTTTTATTTTTTGAGACAAGTTCTCAGTTGCCTAGGTTGGGTTGGGACTTTGCATTCTTTTTACCTCAGCCTCCTAGAGTACTAAGATTACAGGTGTGTACCACTATGCCCAGCTTTTTTTTTTTTTTTTTTCTCCTAATCATTATTTTGGGACAGGGTCTTGCTAAATTGTCCAACTGGTCTTCAAATTGCAGGCCATTTCTCTCAGGCTCCTAAGCACCTACTTTAACAGGCATGGGCTCTGAGCAATCTCAGGACAAGCCTTGGAAAAACTTCTGCATTGCATGTGAAAGCAAGTAGGAGGAGCCCAGCCCACTGCATGCTTACCATGTGCTCAGGAGGCCTTTGACTCTGGGGGTCTGTTTCCTTCTCCCCATAAAATAGGATCACATTGCCTTGGGCCTGCTCCCTGTTCCCTTCCCCTCAACAGGGGCCTGCTGGTTACTTCAGTTGTTTAAATGCCTGCTCATGCAAACACAGTCAGACCCAGGATACCACGATTTGATCCCCAGTTCCACCTGCCTTACCAGACCTGCCCTTAAGGCAGCCTGAGCCAGCACCCCTCCACCAAAAAAAAAAAATCCTTCCCTTTCCCCTCTGTATGAGCTATGAGGCACACAGAAGTGGACACATTTCTTGAACACTGAAGGCAGCCAGGTGTGGTGGTGTACACCGTAATTCCAGCACTTGGAAGGCTGAGGCAAGAGGATCACTTCCAGCCTAGACTATACAGTAAGGTTCTGTCTCAGAAAACCAAATCACAGAAGGACTGTCAAAAGGGACATGGCTTATTTTTCTGAAGTTACCACACAAGGACCCAAAGCCCTGGCTGCTGGCACTGTCTTACACTTTCACAAACATAGGTCTCCACACATCACACATTCCCTTCTATCCTTGTCAGGCCCTGCCCCATAAGGCCTCCCAAACCAGCACACACCACCACGGGCTGTGGATCTGTCAGCACAACACCTCACTGCTGGGGTACTGGCCAACAGCAAGGACCAAAACAGCGATACCTACTGTCCCAGCATTGTTCTGGGCACTGTGAACAGAGCAGAGGACAACACACAAAAATCCCTGCCTTTACTTTCATTTAATTGTCATGAGAGCAGGGAAGAAGTAGGCTCCATTATTATCCCTGGCTTACAGATAAGGAAACTGAGGCCCAGAGAGGTTAAAAGGGGCAGGACCACAAAATGGAGCTCTTGGCCTTTGATCCTTTGCTTTTAGCTCCACATCTCTGCTCGACAGGTGCGGGTCTCCTGCACAGCCCCTCCACTCACCAGCTTGGTGGTGTCCATGGCAGAAAGCACAGCTCGGTTCAGCGTCTCCAGCGCAGCCAGCACAGGCCGATAGACACCCAGGTGCTTTGAAAAGTAGTCTGTGGGCAGAAGCAGCACTGGAGGGTGTAGCCCTGCTGCCTCTGTAATCTGAATGCAGCTCCCCTGGGGTGCCACGGCTGCCAGCAGGCCTGTTCTGCTGAGCCTGGCCCACCCTGTCCCATCTCCCCACCACATGCACCAGCCCAGGGCTCCCAGACAGGAGGGCTCCTGTGGGCCTACTCACCACATAGTTTCTCTGTTTCTAAATTGCTGCAGGGAAAGAAAAGGTATCTTTCAGAGCCTGCGATTTGGGCCTGGCAAATGGGTGTGGAAGCTAATATCTGCACCACTCAACTCTCAGCTCAGCTGGACAAGTTATCTGGTGGGATGGTTGCTTGAGGGGTGGAGAAAGCACTGCAGATAACCCAGTCAAGTCTTGGGAACCTTGATTGCCAGCCCTAGTGTCCTCAGCTGTGTGCACAGGAGAGGTGTGTATATCTGTGTCAGGATATGTGGATGTGGGAGCACATGGAAGGTGTGTGTGTGTCTGTGTGTGTGTGTGTGTGTGTGTGCGCGTGCACCTGCACCCATGGGCGGAGGCAGGGCCAGCTGTCCCCAGGAATCCTCTGGCTCCTGCAGGGAGGAGGAAGGGGGTGCTGAGCCATGGGTGGTGACTCAGGCCTGGCTATTTTGGGGCCCCAGCTGGAAGCAGCCTAGTGGGCAAAGCTGATGCTAGGGTAGGGTGGGTGGGTGGGTAAAGCTGGCATGGAGCCCTGGTACTTGTCTCCTACCCTTCATCCTGAAAAGAACTGAGGCAGCAGGAGAGCCAGTGGGGTCGGGACAGCCTGGCCTGGCACCCTTCCCCAGTTCAGCCTGCTCTCTTGCACACATACTCACTCAGTGGGGTGCCCTTCAATGCCGCTGAACAGCTCCTGCAGCTCCCCTGGGCTGAGAACCCCGTCAGCAAAGTAATTCTGGAATTCCTCAAAGGACAGCTTACCATCGTCTGGGGAAGCAGGGGCAGAGTCGGTATCCTGAGCCCTTCCTGGCTGCTCCCCGACCCACAAGCCCCCGGCGTCTTACAGCCAGCCCGGTAGGATGGGATTCTGTGTGTGTGTGTGTGTGTGTGTGTGTGTGTGTGTGTGTGTGTATCCTGGCTGTTGAGGACAGAAAAATTGCAGTCCCCAAAGGAATTGCTGAAGGAAACAGAACCCACTCTGTGCCGGGCACTAGAGCCTGGGACTCAAAAATGCTGCCAGTGGAAAAAGAATGAACATGGCCTGTGACATAGCCTGTGCATGGCAGGGCCTCCCTAAGGAGGACTTGAGAGGGACAGCCATGCTTGAGACCGACGGGTGTTGCAGAGAAGCCATAGGGAGGCAGATGAGTTATCATCACAGCAGCCTCTGCAAGAGGCTGTACACATGGGATTTACTCTGAATGATGGGCAAGATCTCAAAGTGGGGGTGGGGTGGGGGTGTGTAAGGTGTGAGCCTCCCGGATAGACTGCCCAGTGAGAGCATGAACCCCATTGTTGGGTGGGGACAAACAGTCCGCACTAATCTGAAGAGACCCAAGGAGAAGAGGTAGGGAGTTGGAACATGACCGTATTTCAGGAGGTTGAAGCACAAGGTCTCAAGACCCTAAGTGAGCAGTAGGACACCCAGCTGCTCCGGCTGAGACCATGCTGCACAAGGGGCTACTCTGGGTCCTCCAGGGTAACAACCTGTTGCCTGCTAGGTCCCAGCAGGAGGAGCTGACTCCAACTTTACCCCTGCCCCAGGCTGGGTTTTACCATGCCCTCCAAGCCCACCAGCCTGCAGATGGTGGGTCTTGTAAAAGTTCAGAAGGCCTCTGGAAACCTAAGTACTTCACAAGACCTCCATTATTCCACCCTTCCAAGCCCTTCATACATGGGCTCTTACCACACAGATGTGGGTTCCAAACACTCCCCAGTTAAAGGATGTATGATTGTAGGCAACTTGCCTCAGCTCCCTGGGCCGCTGCTCCTTTGGAAAATGGGTAAGGACTTCCAACCTAGCTAGCTGTTGTGAGGACAGAGGAGGTTGGATACAGGAGCCCCCTGACCCCCATGCCAGGGAACATGGAGAAGGTGAGACCCTATCTCCAGTCTGGGGCCAAACCCCATGTCTTCTGCTCCTGGCTCTGCCAAACTTGGCTCAGGTAAGAAGAGTGGTTTCTCTGGGTAGGACACCACGTTGGCTGATGTCCCTGTGTGGGGTCCACAAGACCTCAACTTTCCTCTGCCCACCCCTAATTCCACCCCCACCAATGGACCCAAGGAAGACACCCACACTCACCATTCTTGTCTGCTCTGCGGAAAACCTAGGGGGCAGATGAGTGTTAGAGGGCGCTGTGAGGGGAACCTGAGCCCCAGCTGGCCTCCCTGCAGGAGCTTCCCAGCAAGGGTGGCGCAGGAAGCACACACAGCAGGTTGGCACTGCCTCTCTTCTCCTGCAGTGCCGGGTCCCATGGAGCTCCAAGCAGCTCCCCACACCCCACCCCCATAGTCTAGCCTGAGCCCCGCCTGATGCATCAGCCCTTGGCCCAGGCCCAGTGAGAGGAAGGTTGGGAAGATGGGCCAAGATGCAGTATGAGCACCCTGGGCGGCCCCCCAGACCTGCACCCCAGCTCTGTTGTGTGGCTGTCCAGGCTCTATCCCAGTCTCTGCCCTCTCTGCACTGTTTCCTTCCATGCAGTCAGGCACTAGTTCTTTCTTTGGGGTGCCTCAGTTTTCCCACTAGCACAAGAGGGAGAAGCCTGAGGTGAACCCTTTCAGGACTGGGATTCTTAAGCAGGCAAATATGAGTGAGGCCCTTGGGCAGATGTGCACGTACAGATGTATGTGCATGGGTGTGCAAAGAACGAGGATGGCAGAAGCCAAGGGTCAAAGTTTCAATTTACAGAGTAGCAGAGATGAAAGGCAAGGAAAGGCAGAGGGGAGCACAGTCAAGCCCAGAGACACCCAGGTGCTCTGAAGTGTGGGAAGCCTGGACAGACACCCTCATAGCTGCAGATTGAGTCCAAACCCTCTCGTGGAGCCCTTCCACCAACTCAGAGAAGGTCTGACACTAGCTTGGGATCACACAGCAGCCCAGCCAGGCCTGGGTGGGAAAGATGGACACAGTGAAGGGACAGGACTGTTCAGCTGGGAATGATGACACCTGAGGCCACTGCCTGCCCCTGCCTATAAATGTGACCTGGGTGGGACAGAGCCTTTCAGGACTGAGTTTTTTCCCTGTCTTTCCAGGCTGGACTGTGGTCAAGGTGCTGAGTCACTGGGGGCAGTAGAAAGGGGGCGGAGACCTCTGGAGTGGAGACAGAAGGGCCTGAGGGGCAGAAATAGGGACAGCAACTCAGGGCCCGCAGGGCCACCTTCCGTGGGTTGGAGGAGACTGAGCCCAAGGAAGCCTGGGCAGCCCTTACCAGCTGCAGGACTCTGCTGCCCCTGGATCTACCCGCAGAGGCTCTGGGGGCGGCACTGGGTCAGGAAAGGCTCTGACCTGTGTCTAAGCTGCCCTGTTGAGCCCGGCTGGGGCTGCCACATGCAGGGGCTTCCACTGATGCTGGGTGCTGTGGCCGGTCCCCGCCCCCACTTGCCACACAGATGGGGTGGGCTTAGGGACACCGGCGGCAGGGGCAGTGTCACTGGGGCAGGGAGAAGAGGAGACACAGAGAGGCAGAGACAGGACAGGACAGAGGATACAGCGGAGAGATCAAGACCAGAGAGACCGCTTGAGATGGAGAGCAGGGTTAGAGTGCTAGGGTCAGAGCTCCAGAGACGAGCGCAGGACCAAAGACCGAGAGGCACAGACAAGACACAGGGGGACAAGCGACCCCGGCGCCCCACTCACGTCCTGGAAGAGTGCGTGTCCGGCGAGCCCGGTGGTGGGCGGAGGGGGCCGTGGGGGAGGGGGCGCGGGGGCCCGGAGCAGACACACAGCGAGCAGCCCGGCACAGGCCATGGCACGCAGCCCGCCTGGTGCTCCGCGGCCGCAGCTCTCTCTGCCAAATGCCGCTGCCGGGGACCTACCGTTGGGGGAGGGGCGTGCGCCCATTGGCCCGGCCTGGACAAACCCCGCCCCCACCCCGCCCCCTAGGGCTCCTGCCAGGGGTCAGTTCCGAAGCTGGTGTCTCCACCGAGCACCCCCGGAGGGGCAACCACTGCGAGGCAAGGATCACTCCCCCACGGGGCTGTGGATGGGCAAAACACAGGTCCCTCCCTACCCCTGGGCTTTTGGTCTCTGCCGGGTGGGAGTGCGTCGAACTGCAAGGGATTAAAATAGGAGCTGGCTCTGAAGGCCCATATAAAATACAGGGCTTCTTATGCGAGGTCTCCAGGTCTCCCTACTTCCAGGGCTCTGGCGTCTCCAACTCACCTCAGCTTTCTTTGCTTTCCCTCCCATTCTGATCCTCACCTCAACCCCTCAGGACTGCAGCCAGACAGGAGCGTGTTTGCTTGAATCTTTGCCGCAGTGGGGATTGAATCAGGACCTTGACACCGTTACATTCCCACTGTTTATTTATATATTTAACAAGTTCACAAAGCTGCCCAGGCTGGGCTTGAACTTTCAATCCTCCTGCCTCAGCCTCCCTGTGCCAGGATTACAGGTGTCCACCACCGCACCGCACCGCACCGCACCTGGCTTAGACTGAACTGAAGTTGTCATTTCAGCCTGACTTGAAATGACAGGCTCCTTGTCCCCCCCCCCCCTTTTGTTGTTGTTGTTGTTGGAACCGGGGATTGAACTCAGGCCCTTGTGCTTGCCAGGGAAGCGCTTATTCTACTGAGCTATCTCCCCGGCCCCCCACTCCTTGTCCCTTGAAAACCCAAGACGTGTCTCCTTCCTCCCCTCACACCATTCTGTTGCTCAAGTCGGGCTCCACCACTGGTCCCGCTCAGGCTCCCAGGCCTGCTCTGCTGTCCACTTGCTTGCTTGCTGTGCTCCGTCTCCCTCTAGGAATCCGCACTACGCCTAGTGCTCAGTCGGAAGCTCTCCCTGATCCTCTCATTTGCACAGATCAGACCAAGAGAGCTCCATGAGGGAAGGGCACACGTGCTCCCCCATAAGGGAAGCACCCCTCACAGATACAGCCTATGCATGTGTAGCATGCTTGCTAATGCACAGCAACAACTGGAAGAAAAAGCACACTGACAGCAGGGTACTCTGCTGCTGGAAATGGACATTCACCTGTTACTCTGTGCAACTTCGAAACATGCCTAATTTTTTTTCTTCATTACCGGAAATTGAACTCAGGACCTTGCGCTTGCTAGGCAGGCACTTATTTTTTTTTTTTTAATTTTTTAGTTTCTATAACACCAATTCTTTTTTTAAAAATTTTTTTGTTTTATTTATTTATTTATTTGTGTGTGTGTGTGGCCAGCTCAGCCCACCAGGGGGCGGGGCCGGCTAGCATGTGGTGCTGGGGGATTGAACCTCGGTCCCTGTGCTTTGCTAAGCTTGTTCTAAGTTAGGTGCTTTAGACCACTGAGCCATCTCACCAGCCCCGGCAAGCACTTATTCTAGTGAGCTGTCTCCCCGGGTCCCATGTCTGATTTTTTTTTTTTTTTCTTTTTGCAGAACCGGGGATTGAACTCAGGCCCTTGTGCTTGCCAGGGAAGTACTTATTCCACTGAACCATCTTCCTGGCCCCTCCATGTCTGATTTTCTACAAAAATATTTACTGAAGTTGGGTGTGGTGGTATTCGCCTGAAACCCTAGCACTCAGAAGGCTGAGGCAGGAGGATCACTGCAAGTTCAAGACCAGCCTGCGCTACAAAGTGACCTCAAGGCCAGACTGAACTGCATAATAAGATCCTGTCTAAAAAAGACAAAAAATTTGGACAGGATATCATGTCTGCATCTTGTACTATGAATAACTACTACGAAGACAATATGCAATGTATTAATTATTGTAACTATCCTACTAACCTGTTTTGAAACTATCTCATTGCTATTTTTCAATAAAATTAATTTTTAAAAAAGACCAAAAAAAGTATTTACTGGCTCAAGATGAGAAACACGATAACAAAACCCTCCTTTCTTGGGGTCTTGAGAGTCCAACAGGGTTAAAACAAGCATGCACAGGGAAGAGGAAGTGGAGAATGGGCATTTTTCCCACAATCTTACCTCCCCCAACCTGACATGAAGTACAGTCCCCACACCTGGCCTAAACATCTTCAAAATTTATTAAAACCAAAGCAGGAGGAACAGAGCTGTTAGGAGACAAATCAAAGTGCAGATTGGAGGGTAGGGCAGAGCAACAAGTTGGGGGGTGGCTTCAAACACCACAGGAGGGGCCCCTGCTGCCCACCCTGTCTGTGAAGGTCCCTACTCACCTCTTCCATCTCATGTCCATCGTAGGAGCAGCTGGGGCCCTGAAGTGACCCTCTGGGAAGGGACGACCCCTCCATCCACCCATGGCTGTCAGTCTGTCTCCTCCCTCCCTTTCCCAATAAATAAATCAGTCAGGCATTAGCTTCTTTGGGGTCAGGCAAAAGAACAGCTGAGGGACCCCTGCCTTGTTCAGGGGTATAGGGAGTGGGAGTCTCAGCACCACACTCCTCCCACCTTTTGCTCCCCAAGCTGGCCAAAAAAGCCTCGATAAATAAATAACGCTCTGTTAAAGCTTCAATCAGAAAAACTTTTAAAACAGAAGTGCTCTCACTGTCCTGCCCAGCCAGCCTAGGCCACCCCACCTGGCCTGGTCAGTGCACAGGATTCTGGGCAGGCGGCAGCCCGGGGTTCACTGGGCCCCTGGAGCAAGGAAACCGAAAGTGCAGTCAGAGCCCCCCCATGTACACACATGAACTCATGCACACATGTGGACACACCAGGGCGTGTCTGCAGTGCACGCACAGACGTGTTCACCTTCATTCCCCGGAACATGCGCGCATACATGTGCACACACCACACACCCTGGGTACACAAGTGTGGGGTACTGGGTGCATGTATGTACACACCACAAACACAAGTCTTTCCCTCCTAGCTTCTTTGACCTCTGGGCAGCAGCCAGACCCCAGAGCTAGAAGCTACTGGAGAAAGAAGATATAATTTTACATTTTCTAATTAGGTTGAAGGTTGGCTTGGGGCAGAGGGCTCCAGGGCTGCAGAGACAGGGTGGGTATCTCAGGAGACCCTGTCCCATCAGGGCCCCTCAGAAATCCAGGGGAGTCAGATCCCCAAAGTCACAATCAAAGAGATCTCTGATGCCCTCACCCTCCTCAAGGCCAAAATGATAGTCGAGGGCCTCCTCAGGCGGGGAGAGACTGATGAACTCCTCAGAAAGGAGTCCAGGAAAGTCCTCCCGCACATGCTCCAGGAGTGAGTCAGCAGCGACCAGCGGGGACAGGTGGTCCTCATCCAAAGGGGCCCGCAGGCCGCTCATCCGTGACAGCAGTGGCTCTGGGGAAACAGGGGCACATCATAGGCCAGGGATGGCCCAGTGGGGATGAAAGGGGCTCGCCTTGTGTGCCTGCCCACCCACCTAGGAGGGGCTTCACCCACCTTGCTCCAGGCTAAGCAGGGACTGGCTGGGATCCGTGGCTGGGGATGAGGGGGGGGATGATGATGGTGGCACTGGGGTGACAACACCACTTGTCCTGTCCTGCTCCCCAGAAGCTGCCTCCTGGGACAAGGGCTCTACAGGGCTGGCTCCACCTGCACTCTCCTCAGGGCACAGGAAGACATCGATGGGGCCTTGTTTGCTCTTAAGGGAGATCTGAAAGGTCTGGGTGGAGGCAGCAAGCAGGGTAAACTGAGGCCCAGGTGCCCATCATCCCAGTACAGTCTGTCCTGGGCTGTACAGGCCCCTGGCCTCACCTCTGAAGAATCCACAGCTTGCAGCTGGGTCTCTGGAGGGGCCTTGATCACCATGACCATCTGCTCTGCAGGGTCTGCGATGCTACGAAGGTCCTGGCAGGTCACATAGGCCAGGGTTGGTAGAGTCAAGGACATAACTTTTGCCCTCTAGGCACTACTCAACATACCTAACACAGGGCCCACAGCTGCCTAGTCATGCATCCTCTTGATCCCCAGCCCCAAGGCCTGGCATGTAGGTGGTCCTCAAAACCTCATACCAGGGCCAGGGAGATGGCTCAATGGAATAAGTGCTTCCTTGGCAAGCGCAAGGGCCTGAGTTCAATCCCTGGTTCCGGGAAAAAAAAAAAAAAAAAAAAAAAAACTCATACCCCTGAACCTCAACTGCCACCTGTGTAGTGTCTGCCTGCCCATCTACTTCCAAGCTTTTGGTGATAGCTGCCATCACAATCCCATGGGAAATGCTTTGCACAACTCCAGGCCTGCTGCTGGCACCTTGTGATCTTGGTGTCAACTGAGAGGTGTGTTTCAAATTTGTTTTGTGTGTGGTACTGGGGATGGAACCCAGGGAACAGAGCTGCATCGCCAGCCCTTTCTTTGCTACCAGGAATCGAACTCAGGACCTTGTGCTTGCCAGGTAGGTGCTATACTGCTGAGCTATATTCCTGGCCCCCTTGTCTTTTCTTTCTTTTTTTTTTTTTTTTGAGACAGGGTCTCACTATGCAGTTCAGGCTGGCCTTGAGCCCACTTTGTAGCCCAGGCTTGCAGAGATCCTCATCTTAGCCTCCCAAGTGCTGGAATTACAGATGTGTACCACAATGCCCAGCTCATGCTTTTTTTGTATCAATGACTGAACCCTGGACCTTGCACTTTGCATGCCAGACAGGCACTGTGCCACCAATCTATCTCCCTGCACTATACTACAAGATCTTGCTATATGGCCTAGGATGGCCTCAAACCCAAAAATCTTCTTGCTTAAAAAAAAAAAAAATCTTCCTGCTTCAGCCTCTCAAGCACTAGGATTATAGGTGTGGGCTACCATACCTGGCTAACTTTTCTCACTTAATCTGCACCAATTTAAGATTACTATCTCCCCTTTTGTAGATGAAGCTGACACCCAGAGTGGTTAGGTAACTTGTCCAGTATCACATGGTAAATAGATATAAAGCCAGGACTTGGACCCAAAGTCAGAGCCCTCTCCAAATCCAGGGCCCAGTCCTACCTGACACGGCCCCTACCTGCCAAGACTGCCCTTCGGCCCCCAGACAACCCAAGGATATCGCTGGCTGTCAGAGTCCTCGGAGAGGAGCTGCAGCTGGGCGGTGCAAAGGCGCATCAGGTGGTCCAGGTGCTGCTCGCTCTCCTGCAGCTGCCGGAGGTCCTGGGTCAGCCCTTCAAGCCGCCCGCTGATCCCCACTGGAGTCTGGCTGCCCCTGAGGGGGAGAGGGCATTTAGCAGCTCCCAGTCCCTCTGCCAGCTGCTCCAGCCTCTAGGTCAAAGTCTGCTGCTGCTGCAGCGTGAGCCCCAGGAAAGCCCTTTCCCCTCTCTGGTACCCAGCTGAGACTCCAAATCAGATTGGCACAGGTTTCAAACCTGGCCTGTCAGCAAACATCTACAAGTCCCTACACGGGGCAGGGTGACAGTGTGGACAGGCCAAGGAGTGGAACACAGTTTTCTAAAAGGATGACAGTAATTAGGTGTACACTTGAAATCCTTTCCGAGGGCTGGTGAGATGGCTCAGTGGTCTAAAGCACCTACTTAGAACAAGCTTAGCAAAGCACAGGGACCACGGTTCAATCCCCCAGCATCACGTGACAGCCAACCACATGCCAGCCAGCCCTGCCCCCTGGTGGGCTGAGCTGTTCCCCCCACTAAATAAATAAATAAACTTGAAAAAAAGAAATCTTTTTGGAGATGTGTTGTCAAGTAAAAAGCAAACGGAATGGTCCACCCAAAACTGGAAGGGAGGGTTGGTGTCTCCCAGAGAAGCAGGATGGCTGGGAAGTAGGGAGAGAGGGAAAAACAAATCAAAGGCTATCAGGAATGAACATCAGTGCCAGACATCTCGGGGTGGCAGAAGCCGGAGTGGCGGCCATTGGCCAGGAAGAGGCCTGGAAGTGCTCTTTATCCTGACCCGGGGGTGGCTATGCAGTGAACATGTAAAGGTGCAGCGCACTGCACCAGCAATGTTGTGTACCTTGCAGGGTCTATCACCTCACGAAGCCACTGGGCTTCTCTGAGCCTCAGTCTCCCCAGCTGTAAGACGGGATGCAGGCAGCAGAGGCAGGTACTTCTGCCTGGCCCCAAGCCCCCACCCACGCTCCTGCTTGGCTGGTACCTACAGCCACTGGATGTGGTTCTTGGACTTCTTGGCAATGAGCTGGATGCCCTCTAGGACGTTGGTGATATCATAGATGCGCCGTTTCTGCACCTTCAGCACCTCAGCTGCCCAGTTCAGATCTACAACACCATCAGCTGAGCGGCTCAGCAACTCAAGGAAGCGTTTGGTGGTCAGATTCAGTGATGTCTCATAGCGTGACTTCTCCCCCGGGGATTTCACACCTGGTGTGGGGGTGGGAAGGCAAGATGGGGTCCTCACCCACCCCCACCCTCAGCCAGATCTGCCTCCTGAGCAATGCAGAGAACAGGATGGGGGGCAGGGATCACATGGTCCCTTCCCCTTGATGCCCCCAAGCAGGGAGGCCCTGTGGCCACTGCCTGCCAGCCACAGCATTCCTCTTCTGGCAGGGAAACTCCCCACCGCCCAGGGCCATTCCCACTCCCTGCTGGGCCCTCAGAAGCCTGGTTCAGGCTCAGGCCCAGGCTTGATGGAGCTAGATGTTAGTTTACAGGTCTGTATGTCTGTCCACACCCCAACCTTGGTCTGTCCAGCCTAAGTTCACAGTACCTTTTCCCAGGTGGCGGCCTCTGCCCCAAACTGGCCCACTGCTCTCAGCCAGGTACTGATGGTCAGTTTCCAGGTCCAGCCGCCGCTTCACCTGCAGCAGGCACAATGGGAGGACGCCCAGTAATGGGGAGTGGGGCCATGAAGCCTTGGCGGAGAGTCCTGCCTATTTGTCTACTAGGGTGCCCATGGAGACAAGAGAGAGAGATCCTGGGGACACAGAATGGAAGCGACACCTGTATCACACAGGACATGCAAACAGAAGGCAGTAGACCTGAGTTCAAGCCCTAGCTCTACCACGCCCCTCCCCCGCTGGGGGCTGGTAGTTGTTTTAACATGTATATGCAAAAACTTGTTTTGGCTGTAACAGGGATCACAGGACCTTGTACACCAAACACACATTCTACCACTGAACTACATTCCTCACCCCTACACTGCTCTCTCACCCCTATGTCTATAAACTTTTAATACTTCAAAAGATGAGAGCTAACCCTTTTCTTAAATATAGGCCCTTACTTATTGTTCTTTTTTTTTTGAGGATCAGGGATTGAACTCAGGACCCTATACTTGCCAGGCAGGCGCTTATGCCACTGAGCTGTATCCCTGGCCGTCAGGTCCTTGCTTTAAGGGGACAAACATGTGGTAACTGCTGTGACCAGATTGCGCTAGAGCCTCCTCTTGGCTGTTTCTATTGGATCACTCACTGCAGGAGCAGCTGGCAGGTCAGACAGCTCAAGTTGTCCTAAGGATGGGCCCAATGCAAGGAACTAACACTCCCACAGTAACATGGGTGAAGAAGCAAAGCCTTCCACCTTCATTAATCCTGATTTTTTTCCCCCATACTGAGAATCAAAAGCTAGGGCACTCTATTGCTGAGTTATACCTCCAGCCCTCTCCCCCCCCCCTTTTCTTTTCTGCTTTTTTGAGACAGATCTATGTAGTCAAGGCTGGCCTTGAACCGTCCTGCCTCAGCCTCCTGAACACTGCCTAGCTGATCTTAAGACAGGATCTCACCAAGTTTCCCAAATTGGCCTGGACCTTGCAATCCTCCTACCTCCACCACCACACCCAGCTAGTCATAACTGCTGATTGCAGCTGGGGCCATCATTTTGGCTGCAATCTTAGAAAAGACCCTTGAAGGTAGGTGTGGTGGTACATAGCTGAAATCCCAGTACGAGTATGGCTGTAAATTTGAAGCCAGCCAGGCTAAGTAGTAAGTTCAAACAACAAAAATGGGGGGCTGGGGAGGTAGCTCAATGGTCTGATTGCCTGCCTGGCAAGTGTAAGGACCCAGGCTTGATTGGTACCACATGCCACACCAGTCCCATTCTGGTGCATCCTGCTGGCCACTGAAACTGGGCATGGTGGCGCATGCCTGTAATCCCAGTGCTGGGGAGGCTGAGTCAGGAGGATCAATACAAGTTTGAGGGGCCAGTGAGATAGCTCAGTGGTCTAAAGCACCTACTTAGAACAAGCTTAGCAAAGCACAGGGACCGAGGTTCAATCCCCCAGCACCACATGACAGCCAGCCCCGCCCCCTGGTGGGCTGAGCTGGCCACCCACACACACACAAATAAATAAAAATTAAAAAAAAACAACAACCAAGTTTGGGCCATGTAGTGAGACCCTGTACCAAATAAATAAATAGACTTTTTTTAATTTAAAGAAAAAAAATGGAAAAGAAAAAATTCAACCCTGTAGATCCTATCCTAAATTCATAAAAATAGAAAAGAAAAAACTCAGAGTCCCCCAAGCCAGAACTATACAGCCAAATATCCCTTGAAATCAGGACCCATGGAAGTGCATAATAAACATCTGAAGCCACTGAGTGTACAGGTCCATCCAGCAAGTCGCTTCCTGTTTTTGACTAAGCTACTCATCTATAACGAGGGCAGCAGCTGACTCCATTCTATGGACTAGCAGTGTACTAACAGCCCCATTGTACAGATAAGGCAACTGAAGCCCAAGGTCATATAGCCAGGATTCCTATGTAGGGCTGTCACAGGAACCCAACCCTTAACTCTGACTTAGGTCAGACATTCAGGCATGGAGACTGTCCAGTGAGTCCCACAGGCAGCACAAGTACACCTGACTAGAACCATAATGCTGCCCCCACCTGTGGACACAAGCTTCCTAGTCGGACCCCATTAGCCCACCTGCCACCCTCCTTGCATCCAGCTGCCACAAACACGTTACCCTGCCATTATCACTTCCTGCAGCCTCCACACTGGCTGCCCACTCCATCTGGTCTTCCACACCAGTCGTGCCCCTGCAAGTGTTGCCATGGCCTGGCCAAAGACCTTCCTCTGGCTCCCTAATGCCTTTACCTTCATCTGCCCTTGCTTCTCCACAGACTAATCCTGCACCACTGCAGTCTTTCTTCCTGGATTGCTCTTGCCCACCTTTCCCCCTTTCCTCTGGACAGGAACCTTAGCCATTACTTATATTTTTTTGTTGTACTGAGGACTGTAATCAGGACCGTGAGCATGCTAGGCAAGCCTTCTGCTGCTAAGCTACATCCCCAGCCCTCTGTACTTTCAGACAGGCCTCATTAAGTTGCCCGGGGTGGCCCTGAGCTTGTGATATTGTGCCTCAGCCTCCTGAGCAGCTAGAATTATAGGCATGCAGAGGGCAGAGATGTCATGTGCCAGAGACCTTGCAGCCATAAAAAGGGCTGGTCAACAAAACCTCAAAGACAGTGAAAAGCAAAATAACAGGGTAATAGGTGCGTATGATCCATTCTTTTTTTTTTTTTTTTTTTTTTTTGCAGAACCAGGGATTGAACTCAGGCTCTTGCACTTGCCAGGCAGGAACTTATTCTACTGAGCCATCTCCCCGGCCCCAATCCATTCTTATATTACAAATTCTCATGAACTGCTGGGAATGGTGGCACATCCCTACAATACCAACTATTAGGGAGGCTGACGCAGGAAGATCCAAGTTTGAGGCCAGCCCAGGCAACCTGGCAACTTAGCAAGATGCTGTTTCAAAAAATAAAAACCAAACAAGAAAAAGGCTGAGGGGCTGGCAAGATAGCTCAGCACTCTAAAGCGACTGCTTAGGAAGCTTAGCCAAGTGCGGGGACTGCAGCTCAATCCCTGGGACCACCTGCCTTGCCAGCCAGCCACTAAAAAAAAAAAAGAAGACTGAAGATGCAGCTGCATCAAAAGGCCTTGGGATTGGGCCGGGGAGATGGCTCAGTAGAATAAGCACTTCCCTGGCAAGCACAAGGGCCTGAGTTCAATTCCCGGTTCCGCCAAAAAAA